GAACAGAATATCAAGAAAACCCTCTGATGACTTCAGTCACTTCCTACCCCATTGTAACTTCTAATAGCATAGATTAGTTTTGCCTGCTTTTGATTGTTGTATAAATTGATCAGCATTATGCTTGTAAGAAATATTCATACAGTTTATAGCATGTAGTTCAATTCTATTCATTTTAATTGTTACATATTATTCCATACTATGAATAAACCGCAGTTGATTGCTTTTTATTTCCCCTTTTAATGGGCATGTTGATTCTTATTTTATATATATTTTTAAATATTCATATGCATGGTTAAGAGTTGATTACATTTTTTTAAAATGCTAACTAGATGTTTTAGAAGATTTCCTTTAGATATTGTCAGATTTTTTATATAAAAAATGGAAAATTGAATAAAAAGTGGTAGACAGGGGGAAAACAAGAACTAAAAATCATTCCCACCATGTACCAGACAATGTGGTAGGACTGGTATTTATTTGTTTTAGCTGTGGTAAAAAACATATAGCAAAAAATTTTACCATTTTTATCATTTTTAACTCTACAGTTTTATAGTATTAAGTATATTCACATTATTTTGAAACAGATCTCCAGAACTTTTTCATCTTGTAAAACTAAAACACTTATATCCATTAAATAATTCTCCTTTTCTCCTTCCTCCCACCTCCTGGTAACATCCATACTGCTTTGTATCTAAGAATTTAAATACTTTATATCTCTCACATAAATGCAGTTATGGCATTTATCTTATTGTGACTGGCTTATTTTAGTGTAGTGTAGTTTAGTGTTGTTTTTTTCTGATAATATTGATCCTCAGTGTCACTAACGTCACTAAAGATTTAAAGTATTCAAGTTCTTAGATACCACCTCAGGGTTTCTCCATGTTGTAGCATGTGGCAGGATTTCCTTCTTTTTTAAGACTAATATTCCATGGCATTAGGTATGTTTGCACCATATTTGGCTTATCCACTCATCCATTGAAGGACAATTGAATTGGTTCCACCTCGTGACTGTTGAGAATAGTGCTTCTATGAACATGGATATGCAAATATTTCTTCTTGATCATACTTTCAATTCTTTTGAGTATGTACCTGGAAGATCATATGATAGTTCTCTAATTATCTGACTATCTCTACAATATTTTCCGTAGCAGCTGTACTATTTTACAATCCTGCTAACAGTCCGTGTCCTTTTTGACACTTGTTATTTTCTGGATTTTTAGCAGTAACCATCCTAAAGGGAATGTGTGACTAGAATGTTTTAATCCTTCAAGAAACCTGTGGCAAAGTATAAAGTACCATTTAATAGCAAGGCAGTCTTTGCACAGAAACTTTCTATAAGAGAAAAAGCAGGGATTCCAGTCCAGGTGGTTCTGAACTTGACAATGAAAAATTTATTCTCGAAGTTTCACATACTCACAAAATCAATTGAGTTATTTTGAGCTGTGATTACAAAATATAAGGTGCTCTATAGAATTTCTTGACTTTACGTGTAAAATAGGAGATGTAGTTTTCTCAAACTGTGATCCCCAGAACAGCACTATCAGCATTCCTGTGAACTTGTGAGAAATGTAGATTCTCAGATCATACCCCAGACCTACCAAATCAGAAACTCTGAGAGAAGAGAGAGCAGTCTACTCAACCAGCCCTCCAGGTGATCCTGATGCATGGTCAGGTTTGAGCACCACTGGGTTTAGATCATTAGGCAGATATCCTAATGGTGGTCTTTTTACTGTTGCCAAACTGGAAACTGACATGTTGAGCATCTTGGAGTTTCCAGGGTAACCTGATAGAGTGAACTGTGTTCTGTACTTTATACCTCAGTTTTCAGGAAAGTGTTGGATTGGCCCAATTATAACAAAACTGGGAAAACAGCACTCCATATGTTAGGAGTTTTAGCCAGACTCCAATTTTGCAGAGTTGCTTCTCAACAAATGGCCACCCGAGAACAGCCACCCTCCCCAGGACAACCTCTCTCGGCTCAGCAGGGATCTGGGTTATCTGCCAGGATTTTCATCCCTGCTGGCATCCAAGCTCCCACTTTTTGCCTCCCTTTAGAGTGGGTCTGCAGTAAGCCTGGGAAGAACAGAAATAGCAGGAGATAGCAGAAACAAATGTGGAAACAAATATCAACTATTCTTCCTGCCAGCGTCCCAGGCTTCTACCTGTCCCACCGTCAACAGCCCCTGGTCCCAGGTGTCCTGGACCAGTTCCCCCAGAGACTTGTGAGGTACACAGCAAGGAGTCAAACATCACACTTCCCTCTGAAAAATGGAGGAATCTGATTTTAATCTAGAATGAGAACTGTAGTTTTACCTATGGTCTTTACATAATTATTAATAATAGAATATTTCAGGTTGTCTTGCTAAAATAATAAAATTCATCCTACCAAGAATCTGCTAACTCTTAGATAAGCTTTTGCCTTTCCTTAATGCTTTTGAATGAAAAGAGAGAGCTTTTGGAGGAGCAGAAGATTGTGCAGCTGCATTCAGTGCTGCTGGCGGGGAATAAGATAAGGGATCTAATTCCTGGGGCTTTTTAGGGAGAAGGATGGTAATGTCTGGGAGAGGCCTTGAACCATTATGATGATAGGAACTGTAGCCTCCATTAGTGCTTTCCAGGCTAGTTGTACTCCCCAGCATGCACCTATTTCTCTTCCATCGACCCCTGCTCTGTGCTATCAGAGCGCCCTCAATAGGGCACTGAGACCTGTTTCTCAAGTTCCAAGGGCTTCCTTTACCTGGTTCTTTGATATATTTAATGACAGAGCTAAGTGACTATGTTGCATTGTAAAACTCATCTTTAAAAATGGTTCAAATCTGCTTCAAGGGATTAGTAAACTTCAGGCCTGGAAACTGGATTTAAATTGAAAGTATATGCCTGTTCAAGTTATCTGCACAAATATGTTCCACTAACTTAATAACTCTCACAAATATTCTACCTGCTTGTCCACTCTTAGAAAGGATGTGTAAATGAACCCAGCCCTCTCTCTGCAGTCCTGGAGCATACACATCAGTACACTTGACAGTGGAAAGACTGACTTAATGATCATGTAAATCAGCAGAGAGATGCAAGGATTGGATGCCTGCCTTCCATACTAAATTGTGAATGCTTTTTGCTCCTCAACTTAACACATGTCAATGTTGTTTTACAATATCTGACACTGAATTTGTCTTCAACATTAACTCTGTGGTAAAAATTGACCAATAGTTGGCCTCATTTTCCCCACTTTCTGCCCAAATCAATACACATGTCTCCTCTGAAGAATGGGGAATGTAAACAGAACTTGATCCTATGGTTTTAACTTACCTCAATCTGATGTGTGCTTAAAGAAAGAACCAATCACTTACTTGGATGCCATTGATTTAGTTTTTTCATGCTCTTGTGAATTAATACATTTACAGTGCTTCTATTTTCTAAGTAAACTTTTTATCATTGATTAGTCCTCAAAGACTAATTGACTTATATTTACTAAAAGATCCAATATATTGATTTTCAGAAAATGTAGACTGCAGGACTAGGAAATGGTGTACCTGTGAACAACTTGTATTAAATATATAGAATATCAACCTGTATATTCATTCCAATTTTATAGTCCCCCAAAGAACTCTAATGTTAGGTCTCTAAAATGAAAGAACACAAAGACACCACTTTTTATATTTATTTAAATTTTTTTTAAAGTTAAATTCTGTTCTGTAGATTTTAGCTAGGATGATTTATGAAAATGGGTGCCTTTTTGAAATCAAGTCCTTGATGGCACTCCCTTAACTTACCTTCATCAACAGTGGGCATGTTTCTCATCCAATCACTGCAGAGCATTTGCTTGCTTACCTCTCAAAGTTTACTCTGCAGACCCAGCTGTTATTTAAACTTCCTATTTCATCCCAAGCTTAGGTGAAAACCAGACAGATCAAGTAAGTTTGCCTCACACTTTTAGAGCAAGAAAATTAGAGAATAAAAAGGATCTTTCTGTGTTTATGATTTCAATTGTTTTTTTAAAAAAGTATTGAAAAGATCAACCAAATGCATTTATGTTTTATCACTAAGACTTTTGTGTAAATATTCTACCAATAAGGTAATCAAATAGTTATTAATAACAATGAACTAGAATGAAGATATTCAGAAAACATGCTCAGAAATGCTTCTCATTCCAATTGTATACTTCTAAAACTTATGCTTACTTTCTTTAAAAAAAAGATTAAGACAATAATTATATAATAAGAAATTAGATGCTCTTAAATGATATTTGATCAGAGTTACTTAAGATGTTAACACAAACTTACCTGACTCTTGCAATTAGAATTTAGCTGGTTTTGAAGTGGGAGAGTTAACATTCAGTTACAATAATGAAGATTAATATGCAAGAATTATACATTTTAGTTCACTTATAAAACAGCTTAACCATCCAAAAGGAAGAAAAGAGCTAGCTAATGTGCTTTAGACAGAATATATAATTATGTTTAGCACAGTGCTTTTCAAATTTAGTGAGCATAAGAATTACCTAAAGTAATTCTAAAATGTAGATTCATAGTTCCTATCCCCAGAAGCTTCTAACCAGTAAGCACAAGATAAAGCCCAAGAATAGGCATGAAGTAGGTGACCTACCTTAACCTTAGGTAACTCCTAAAAAATTAGGATTTGGAGCCCTCTTTTAGAAGCAACAAATTAAGTTGACAGATGCATTTATTATTTTATCCTAAACTGCAAAATCCTCAGATAAAATGCCAATCTTAAGTCATCTTTCAGAAAATTTACATTACTAGCTAGAGCATACTTTTAAGACAGCAATTAAGGTATATTCATTTCAGGTACTTTATTTTTCATTGTGGTAATTATGAACTAACCCAGAGCTTTTATAATTCCCTGATGTTTAAGAATCATATGGACTTGGGATGTTTTTTTTTTAACTGTTGTTAATTTTTACTGTTTTCCTATTGCCATTTAATATGTTTTATATTACAGCAAAAGGAGATCACAGCATTTATTTGTTTTTCTTTGGTTTCAAGGGAAGAAGAGGAAAAACAGGACCACCTGGAAAACCAGGACCCCCAGGGCCACCTGTGAGTAAACAATAGGAGGACTGCCCCCATCCTCCTGTCCCCAATCTGTCCACCATTTTACTTCCATATGTGACCTCAGTGCTAGTTTATTTCCCTGTAGAATAATTTACTTCTTTGTACTGTTCAGAATAATTGGCTTCAGCACTTGTAGGGGCGATTCATGCTCTCTATACCACCACTATCATCACCACCCAAACTGGGAGATAAAGGCTGCTGGTAGCTCTCTGTATACCTCAACCCCTTGTTTATCAGTTGAGCGTCCTCAACTGAACATCTCCCACAATCATCCAACAACTGAGCATCCCTAAGCCACATGTACAAACAGATGAATTCTGTTCTGAGTCTGTCTGAGCTCAATTTCAAATGCTTAATAACATTCAGGCTGGTTGTAAGATAGACAACTGAGGAAGCACATCCACTCTTCTTGATACAAAATGTATTATCAGGGACTGCGGTTGTAGCTCAGTGGTAGAGCGGTTGACTAGCACGTATGAAGAAGTGGGTTCGATCCTCAGCACCACATAAGAGTAAATAAAATAAAGGTATTGTGTCCATATACAACTAAAAAGACATACTTAAAAAAATGTGTTGTTAGAGAATGTCATAGAACTTACTTTCTAAATAGAGTTAACTTATCTCATTCCTTTACCCCAAAATTCTGAAAAAAAGGATTCCATCTCTTGTGGTTTTAATAATTCTAACCTGCCAGAGTCTGGTCTGTGTCCAAGCTACTCCAGTGATGTGGATTCCGGGTCACTAATAATCCCTAAGTTGCCAGATTCCCAGGGCACTTCCATGCTTCATCTTACTTCATTGCCACACAGAAATTTACTCTGTGGATGGCTCTCTTTGAAACTCTCTGTTCTCTTGGCTTCATAACAATTATTTTTCTCTCCTAATTCTAGGGCTATCCCTTGGGTCTCCCTTGTTAACAACTTTCCTTCTGTCCTCATCAATATGTTGGATGAATTAATAAATCCCAATCATTTATTCCCATCCATATATCCCTCCAGTGTTCCAGGCCTACATCCTGTGGCTCAGTATCTCCATGTGGAATTCTCTTAGGGGTAGTACAAAAGAAACATGTCCAAAATTCTCTTTAAAAATAATTCTAAGATTTTTTTCCTCTTTCACCCTCTGTATATACAGTCCCTAAACCATGCCAACCCTCTAGCCCTATAGGGGATATAGGGATATATAAAAATATGTATATTTTGTAAATCCATCTTCTCCTCTCCATCTTCATGGCCACCTCCTTAAATGAGGCCTAGGCAACTTGTATCTATATTTTTGTGGCCATCTAACAACTGGTCTCTTTGCCTTTACCTTGTCTAAGTGGAGTAATATCTCTAAATCATAACTCCAACCATGTAGCTCAGGCTTTACAAATCCATGCTGACTTGAATCACTTAAAATTGCTTAATAGCTTAAAACTATTTGGCTTAAAATGTCTTAATAGCTTCTCATTTCTTCAAGAAAGATGGATGCCATATCTCCTACCTGCCATTCTGGGCCCTTCATGGTTTGCCTTCTGTCTACCATTACCCTCCTCCTCAATGCCCTTCCTCCCTTCCTAATCTGCAGTGTAATCTTGCCATGCTTTGCAAATGTTCTCCACTATCTTCATAACTAGCTTCAGCACCAGTTCTCCTACATGGCCTTTGATGGGCTACCCTTCATTGTCCTGGAACCATGAACCTTCTGCAGATACAGCACATTGCTTTGTAACTGTTATTTTCCTTATCTGTCTGACCACTTCCCTGTAATTTCTTTTAAACCACTATTTTTGTCACCATCGACTAGCATAGTTTCTGGCCTATGGCATGTAATTATTGATTATTTATTTAATAAGGGAATAAACAAATAAATATAATTTTCAAATAGGAAAATGAAGGGCTGGGGATGTAGCATAGTAGTAGAGGGCTCGTCTAGCATGTGCAAGGCCCTGTGTTCAATCTCTAATACCAGGAAAAAGGAAGGAATGAAGGAAGGAAGAAAGAGAGAGAGGGAGGGAAAGGAACAGACAAGACCAGACAAGTGCCTTTTTAAAGAACAGAACTTTACTTAGCTACTAGAGGACTCCACACCTATCTCCTCAGGTATCTCTTAGGATGTCATCACGTGCCAGAAATGAACATAATATGTGTCCAGTCATTTATTTTTATTTCCCTTTATTTATTCAAGTGGATTATACTCTTAGAAGGCATTGTGTCACTTAATATGATATAAAAATAAGGGAGTATGACTTAGATATCCTAGAATTCAATCTTTAAAGTATCATCTTTGTTGATTTTTATTCCAATGTTTTTGGTAAAATAGAGAACATATTATAAGATTTTGAATACTTGTTTTATCTTTCAAAAAAGAAAGCTGGTGAATGCTAACAGGCAAGATTAGACGTTGGTGTATTTTTTCTCAATGTATGATGCTCTTTTAAGACAGGATAATTGCTGTCTCGGGAGGAATTTGAATGATGAAGGTCTTTATGACAAGCTTGCCAACTGTCTATGAGAAAAGAAGATTACACTGAATTCTGGAATGAGTTCTCAACTATTGATCAAATGAGTTCATTCAGGAATGTCAAAGCTTAACAAATATGTACTGGGCCTGCTGGCATGTGTCTGTGATTCTAGCTACCTGGGAGGCTGAGGTAAGAGGATGGCAAATTTGAGGCCAGCCTGGATAACTTAACAAGACCTTATCTCAAAATAAAATGAAAAGAACTAGGATGTAGCTTGCTGGTAGAACACTCTTGGGTTAGAACCCAAGTCTCACAAACAAGAGCGTGTGGGGGCATGGAAAGGGGAAGGTGGGGGCGAGGAAAGGAAGAGGAGTGACTTTATGAAAGGATTCATAGTAATTCCACAGGGTTTTTTGGTAGTTGTTTGGTTGGTTGGTGGTTGGTTTGGTTTGGTTTTGCCAACGTATTTGGGGGGAAGGAATTATTTCAAGTATTAAATTTAGAATTTAAATTCAGCTAAGGATCTGATACAGAATACTCATTAAATCCTGAATACATACTTGTAAAAATAAAATAGTTTATTAACATGTAATATAAGATACTTAGTTTGCTAAACTAAAGGCATAGGAAAAAAATATATGCAGAAAA